AAATAATCTGTATGGCTGACTCCATAAAGAGACAGATACATTTGCTCGCATGCACGCACCAACATAGATTGATGTTAATATAGGGTTTATTCTACCTCTGTCGTTTTCTTCATTTAACCTTTACCTACTATTGTATTATTTGAGCTGTGCTGAGTGAGAAAGCCAAGTCCTGGAGCAGGAGTAAGAATGGTGCACAGACGAATGAGGCTGTAACCCGACCATGACTGTGTCTATGGTTCTCCTACCCAGGAAGACATGATGATTCACTCTCTCTAAAGACTGATGACTTACTGACTCACACATCATCTAAGGCTTGGTGCCAAAGACACAACATACAGTAAACATGATAGTTCAATTGTGCATCTTCAAATTGAATCTAATTTATAAAATATACTTTATATTGTCGACTTTGGCTTTGCCTTAGTAATCACATTGTTGAATGTATTGTTATTCCACTAGGGGGTTGTTTCTTGACATGCCTGGACAAGATAGAGAGTGTGGTAGTACAAGATACATCACTGTATGGACTTTAAATGTAAGCTCAAACACAAGATGTAACAGGCAATGATTCAATGTTCACCTCTGACTATTCTGTAAACTATTAGGTAATGCAGTGTAAAGAGGTCAGCCTATCCCAGCTCGGAGGATACACAGCAGGAAAGTGTAGGTTTTCTGTAGGGATCAGGATGGACAGCAGCCCCTTTCATCGGCTGCTCTCTGATCAGTCATGTGTGGGTCAACCTGGAGCTAATGTCTGCAAAGGCTCGGCTGAATGCAGTGAAGAAGACACAATGTTGATGAGCAGCACAACTAAACCACTTCACTTGAGGGCAGTGTTTCTTAAACAATGGGCTAGGTGAAATTTGAAAACCTACTTTAAAAAAGAGCTGATCAATTTGAAAGAATACATATGTTTTTAATATAATGAGCTGTGCACGTTAAACTCTGCTGTAGGTTAAAAACTGGAACAGATTGACACAGAGCCTATGGAAATGAGCACAGGACACACACACAACACACACTTAAATATAAAGACACGGGTACACACAAACACACACAAACTCTCTCACTCATACCAAATACCTCCCTGTCATGCCTGCTTCCAAAAACATGGCCAATCTCACCGCAAACTAATAGTCATGGGCTGCTATCTTCATACACACACACACACACACACACACACACACACACACACACACACACACACACACACACACACACACACACACCACACACACACACACACACACACACACACACACACACACACACACACACACACACACACACACACACACACACACATACACACACACACACACACACACACACACACACGGAAAATTCCTCAGTAGAAGCCTGCTCCTGGACTAAATTATAATTTATTCAAATTGTGAATGATCCTTTTAGGCAATTAAAAAGTGTAGGGGGTTATAACGCCCCTCTCACTGCTAACCACAGGGATTTCCATGTGCTAGGCTGCATCCTGTACCAAGCAGCCAGATATTCCAACTATCCACACCACACGCCAGAGCACCGAGAAACAGCAGGGTGGGGACAGTGTGTGTGTGTGTGTGTGTGTGTGTGTGTGTGTGTGTGTGTGAGATAGCTGGCGTTTTATCATTGATGCATCAATCTTTTTGTATCCATCTGTATTCATTGCTCTCTCTTATACATATATTATATAAAAGAAAGATAATGATTAAACATAAGGACAAGTCAAAGTGTTTATGAACTGCTCCACCTTGGTTGGCAAATGCTGGGCAAGAAAGAGAGGAATTCAAGTGAGAGGCCTGACAGACTGCAGGCCTTAGGAAACATTTGATCACCGAGTGTGTGGGTCTGGGTGTTCACGTATGGGTATGATTTGTATCAAGTGTTAGACCACAGTAGGCTCTAAGGATGTGACTGCCTCAATCGGCCCTTTTAATGCATCTTATGGTTATGAGTGACAGCAGAATCAGGGGGTAGAGAGTGGACATTTCACTGCAAAAATAGTGAGAATTCGGAGAGAATTGAAAGATATTCAAAGGTATGTCAACATCGTAGGAAGTGTACCCTGGTTAGACCACTCGGGACACACGCATTAAGCACTCTTCTTTCACAAACGGACACACACAGGAGATTGCAGATCTTAAATATGTCTCCCTGTTTTAGCTGAACCAACAGAAGGCCTGCTCCTTTAGGAAGTTATTTTCTCTTTTTAGGAATATCTATATGGACTGGCAACAAGAGAAGATATTATTAAAGGATTTAATGATAATAAAACATAGTTGACATGTACTCATCTAAACTTCCTTTATAGTTTGCTTGGGAATCATAAACATAGAGAAATGGGGAAGGTGGGAGGGATAGCTAGATAGCGAGCAGACACATTTTTGGCTTTCTTGCACTGTAGAGTTCTCCGGGGCGATCTGTGAGTGTGAAGAGCATGGCTCTTGCTTCCTTTTTACCCATGTCCTCTTCAAGTAGGCCTGTACAGTATCCTCTTGACAGCTCGGTGCTACCCTCCTTTTACATTTCTCATATTTCCCTGTCCATTCTGCCTTTGTTCATCTTTTTCACTCCCCCGTCTTCCTCTCAAGAAGATTTCATGTGCAGTGGGTTCTCAGGGGAACCACAAAGAGAAAGGGGGACAGATTGCCTTACAACAGCAAATGAGTAGCTTTGGCTTAAGAATGTGTGTGTGTGTGTGAGTGTGTGTATGTGTGTGTGTGTGTGTGTGTGTGTGTGTGTGTGTGTGTGTGTGTGTGTGTGTGTGTGTGTGTGTGTGAGAGAGAGCCTCGGGGACAGGTCAGCTGGGACACACACATCATACCAGAGCCATGAGGACCGGCTGCTGGTCTGCCTTCTTGACAGGTCTCTCAGACGGGACCAGGCCCTGAACAACCCTGGGTGCAGTGATGCTTCTAATGATAGTTTGGTAGAGAGGAGAATAAGGAGGACTACATTAAGGGAGGGGTCATGACTTTATGTCCACAGAGGGAACCGAGTCAAACCAGGGCTACTGGCGGAGCAAAGTGACCATGAATGACATATGGAAGGTAAAGGGTGCACACAGCGAGCTGTATGGATCCTAAAGAGAAGGGACTGTGTGGGCCAAAGAACGAGGCCGGATTCAAGCTTCGGGGTTCATTTAAAGCCATGGTCTTATAAGGAAAGGACATCACATACTGGGGTGTAAGTGAGATACAAAGGACACATTTGCCTTCTAGCAATGCCAAGACAGAACAGGATAGCCAGGCAAAGGCATGTGGCAGGACACACCAGACCAGGGCTAATGAGCCCAGTCAGTGTGTGGTAAACACCAGAACACAAGGTGGCGCTGGTAGGGGATGAAGAAAGGGACAAGGAGAGCGCTTGGAAGCTATGAGCCGCTGTTAAAAAGAGACATCCAAAGCAGAGTATAGAGCAGAGACTGTCCAGGTCTACTGATCTCATCGAGCTGATGGAGGTGAAGCATCAGGAATAAAGAGAGTTGGACTGAGTCCACCCCAGGGGAGTATTAGACAGCTATGTTCTCTAAACCGTGGTTGAGGGTGTGTGGGCCTTTGTCTGGTGGGTCCCTATAGTGCATGGCAATAAAACACACAGTGTACTACACACAGCAGTATATCATCAGCTTGACTGAGCTAATTGCACTGTGGCTCCCATGCTGAAAAGTGTTTACTCATGTACTTCGAAGGGTTGTAGCATTACACTGTTTGGATGCACTGTAAACGTTTGTTTAACATGGTTACCAAGTTGAATTAGGGAGGATTTGGAAATGATGAGTGTAGTGTCCAAAGGAAAAGAAGAAATAATGTGCAGGATAGCACCTGAGGTTGGTATTATAAGTGACGAATAGGCGAGAGGTCAGGGATTAAGGGCAAGGTTTTCGGGGTGAGGTGGAGAGCAGGCTCACAGATGGAAAGAGGAACGATGGGAGAGTAGGGGAGGTGTGGGGGATGATGGCTTGTGATGATCAGAGTTATTTTAGACACTCCAAAGCATTATGGGACCTAAGAAAAACAGCACAACCACTTAAGACTCCAGAAACTGATTTGTACGAGCTACAAAAACACACTCGCAGGACCATTAAAGAAATACAACCCCTTCTCTTATCAGGACCACTATTGTTATAACCCCAACATTTAATTAGGAGTGTGAGCTACATTTGCTGAGGCGGCCACATTGGCAGGCATTTTATCACATCAAGCTTAATAAGTTAGCTGAGTGTTTCTGGCAAAGTTGCACTATTTCTTATTTATCTAGTTTCACAAATCATGTCCATCTTGAGAACACATTTTTCATATACCACAAACACATGATGGAATAATAAATGACAGAACCGTCCAGGAATCACATTCCTTATCTATGATGACATATGGCCTGTTCGGACAATCTTTCTTCCAAAACATGCCAGAAAATAAAGAGGTCATTTTGACTCACTGCTAAAATGAGATGTTGTATTCACTGCAACTCTCCAAGTGTGTCTGACTTTGTGTGTGTGTGTGTGTGTGTGTGTGTGTGTGTGTGTGTGTGTGTGTGTGTGTGTGTGTGTGTGTGTGTGTGTGTGTGTGTGTGTGTGTGTGTGTGTGATAGCTAGAGTGAGGTAAGAACGCAGATTAACCATGGTTGATGATTAATACAACTTGACTTACTGAGAGCAATTATGGCCATGTCTTTTCTCAAACTTGACTTTCTCACACTCACCATGGAACACATGGGGGTTATGAAACATGTGCGCACCAAGCACAGAGACATATGCCACAGATCGCCAGCCCACCCTTCCGCTCAACCTCAAAACCACAAAGGGTTAAATATAATCAATCTTCTTTAACAATGCTGTCAGGGTACTGTCTCAGAGCGCTGACAGAAACACAGATAGTGACTGCTGCATGCTGATCAATATTTTTCTGGTGTGTGTGTGTTTGAGTGTGTGTGTGTGTGTGTGTGAGAGTGTGTCTATGTGTGTGTGTCTGTGTGTGAGTGTCTGTGCGTGTCTGTGTGTGTGTTACCTGAGGGGACTTGTGGGATCTCCAGCTGTACTGGTGGCTGTGGAGGCTGGCCAGCAGCACGTTCTCATCTGTGTCCACCTGGCCGAAGCACAGCGTCTCGTGGGTGTCGTTACAGATCACGTAGTGACTGTACACCAGCTCCTCAGCCTGCGGGTTCCCTTTCTAAGAAGAAAAACAGGAGAGTAGTGGATGAAAATAAAATAAGGGGAGACATGAGAAAAAGAGTTTGTGCATAAAATACTTCCAGGTGTGTATATTTATGGTGGGAGTATAATGCACAGTATATGTGAAGTTTGAGTTTAAGTACGTTTACAAGTGTCATCAATGCATGTATTTTCAATCTTAAAAATGCAGCTGTCAGTCAGTAGGAAAAGGAGATGAGTGATTTCACCTGTGGGAGCAACACAACCTCAGAGGCAGAATGAATCATTTCTCAGCTATCCAGGCTAAAGCGGCTTGCACTGGGTTTCAGGGCCAAATCTACCCCTCGGCCCCACATAAAACCTCCAGCAGGCCGCTCTCTTTACCAATTATCAACTTTTTCACATCCTTTTTTGATCGGCTAGATTTGTGTCCTTAGATAAATGGAATTCAGTTCAAATGACAACTTTGTTTGTATGTGCATGGTTTTTCCTCACATTTTCTCAAAGCATGAAACAAAATGGGCAGGCATTCCTGATCGTAACAGTCATCAATACAGTGTGGTTTGTTATAATACGATGGAAGCTGGCCCACCTACAGCAATGGGTCAATGAAAAAGCCTCACAGAAAACTCCAGTCATGCGAGTGGTACAGGGATGCTGTCCACTCATACGTCACCCTGCATGCAAGAGCGAAGAGCTCACTGGCCTGCTATTGAAAACACTGCTTTGACAGGGAGAGGGAAAGTGTGTCAGGGCTTCTGTATACATTTCAGTACACAATTTCAAAACAGCACATAGTTTGCATGTGAGTTGGATAGCGAGGCTGCAAGTTTATGTTTAAGGTTTACTTCAGCTTTTCCAAAGGCTCTCAAGCCCTGATGGGGTCTCTCCTGCACACCCCTCCCTGACTATTGACGCACGTGATTGTGGTTCAGACAGCTTCTCAACAACTACTCCACTATCCTAACAAAGAGGGACCCCGGCCTGCTGTATACTTTTAAATAGCAGGGGGTTGATGGTTAAAAGAGGCTGGCAGTGAAAGCTCAGAGTTTGACTGCCAAGCACGTTCGGGGTTCAGGGGTTGTTGATGCTATTAAAAACGGATGGGAAAGTTTACACCATTAAAACGAACACTTGATGAAAGATTTGAGAGAGAGGTAGACAGAGCAAAATATAGACAGGACAGCTGCGACAGTGGGTTCAAATCCATTTCCAGTTTTATAGTGGAACACTATCTGTGCTGCCTTTCGAATCTGACACTGTGATTTACAAACTTCCTGCTGCCATCTTAAGATGCCGTTGTTAAGCCCACTCTTTGATGGTATCGTCTTTCTGCTCTGATTCATGAGGTAACATGATACACACATCAGAAAAGCTCCCTGCAGTAATCATAATCACTCCTCGTCTATCCAAGACTTTAAGTGGACAAATATTAAGACAGAGATATTTAAACAGTCAACACGTCTTCCTTGTTAAAGAGCATAAGATGATAGCCTGTCCTTCAGACGCAGTCCTACCAGGAATCAAAGGATCCATTTCACTAATCCACCCAGATGATATTACTTACATTGTCTAGCCCTGATCTGCGTGGTAGAGTGGCACATATATAAAGAGCAAGGTACAGTAAAATGTCTGGAAAACCAATTGTAAATAATGACACCCACTCAAAAAAATACTCATGAAACAAGACGCCGTGGAGAAGATAATGAAACTTCCAAAAGGGACACAATAAAACAATAATCAGATCTACAATCACCTATATGTTCTGCTTTAGATGACCTTCGCCCACACATCTGCTACAAACAGGAACCCGATCTCTCTATCACTTTTTTTCCGGTTGCAAAAGAACATGGGACACACAGGGGGAAAAACAGGAGGAAAATTCCGGTTGTCTCAATTGCACATATAACAGTCTGTGAAAGTTCTGTGAGAACGCAGAGTGTGTAAATACTACTGGGCTTTTGTGTGGCTTTCCACTAAAGCCACTTCCCTGGGGTTAGGGGCTGGGGGGAGAGAAGAAGGAGAGTGGGGCTAGGGACTGAGAATTGAAAAAGGAGACATGGGGCCTGAGGTTAGAGTGGTGGGGGGCTGAGGTTGGGGCCATATGGGCCTATAGAGTAAGAGGCACATGAAAATAAAGACACCACTAATAAATAGGTCCTGGCCTGCCCACTGGGAGCAGCCATTTAATCAAAGTTTACACATACATCATTCATATCAATTGGTTTGTGGATCTTTTTTGGGCATTTTAGCAGCTGACATCTTGATTTTTAACTGATCCATCTTTGTTTTTTGTACACTAACTTATATTTATGTATGTATTAATTTGACAGGGACAATTCACAGCTTCTCAGCTGAACCAGAGTTAGCTACAATACCAGCTTACTTACATCTGTAGTCCCTAGGCTGCAAACATGACATCTCTGTTTGGAAAAGTAGCCATATTAGAACACAAAAACAGTACATATTCACAATACACCAACTACATAGAGACATCAGCACATCACAACAACCACATGTAAGCAGCACAACAGCAACCACAAGGTTTCACAACATTGAAACACATGAAGTGTTTGAGGTGTGAGATGGATACATGATTCGGTCGATTTTAGCCTCATTCATTTGTTTAATAGCAACAAGGCTTTAGCAATCTCATGCACAACTTACTGAGCACCACATGTTTGTTGCTCTTATTATTATTGCAACAGACGTTTTGATCCTAACTCAGTTGGTCGGTGCTTTATTTGTTGGATGTCCTATTTGTCCTCTCATTATCTGAGTGCAGTTTTATGAACTCTTTATATAGGGAGAAGCTACATCATTGATGATGTTGTAATGTACACACAACCAGCATCAACAAAACACACACAGCTGTCAAAGGCAAGGATATTATACTTCTGGATGATGTTAAAATGATGGTCACTTGATGGGCTTGTGTGCCGTGCCATGACTGTTTGTAGTGTGCAGTGAAGCAAACATTGTTTTCCAGCTTTTGATACAGTATGTGGTACGTGTGTCACATCATGCGTGTGCAGATCAAACATGTCTAAGGGTAACTGGCTTTTGGGGAGTTAACACAGAACAATTAAAAGTCGTTATGACAACAGCGGGGTCAGTATTCCTTGCTTTATCATCTGTTTTGCTTTAAATTGGATCATCAATTACAAAACCAGCATCATCCTGCATTGAGCAAGACTTCAATCTACAATTTGAGATCATGCGTTCATTAGAAAGGTTGCTGCCTGGGAACAACTGGGAGTTTAGCATCTTGCTAAAGGTCACTATGATAGGAGACCTCAGATCCGCTCAGACCTGCACAGATGACCAACAATATATGAGTGTTGTCAGAATTGTCAGCGAGGACTTGATTGGAAGTTAATGCTGAATGAAAGCACTGCAGTAGAGGTGAGAAAGAGGAGGAGAGCCTGCTTGCCTTGGAACACACTGCATATCATAATAGATGGAATATACATTCTTCACATCTGTACTCATGACTGCGAGAAAGACCTGGGTGATGTTATCATGAGCAGTCCATGTAACCATAACGACTGAATATCAAAACATATTTTAGCTACATGAGAATAAATTACAACCATATAAGGAGAATGTCTTATTTCTATTTGTAGCTATGCATCTGGAAGTTGTCCAGCTGCTCTGGTTGCGGTGGTCTGGTACGACCATGTCTGGGTTGTGAGGTTTCACTTGTGTGGTGGTGGAGGAATCTTCTCCACAGATCCACGCTGACCCGGCAGGCCACAACACAACGGGCCTGCCTGCCAGCCTTGACACCAGGAAACATGAAAATCACTGAAACAATTACACACGTTAGGTTACATCCTTGTGCTGCGGAAGGACAAAGCCTGTTAACATTTCCAACTGCATCTGATTACGTTTTCAATTAGGATCAAGTTTTTCTATGCATGTACAATGTGTGCCTGAGTGTGTATGGAACGTAAGCCTCTGTCAGATCCAACATACATTTAAGCTTAACACGGAGGTTCTTTACATCAGCCCCTATAGTGCACCTCACCACCAGACAGATTGTGCTTAATCGCACCCATACAATGTTTTCTCACCACGTACCATTTTTTGTTTCAGTGAAAACCCCAAAAAGGAAAACATTATTGCACTATCGAAGTGTCCACAACTTTTTCTTAGGTGAACCAAATACTGGAGAAGAGTGTTTAAAAAAAAAAAATCAGCCTTTTGTACTTGACCTCTCTGTACCCCTACTCACACGCAGCACATTTGCCTCATAATTATGGTGTGTTCTTTCCCCTTGTGTTCAGCAAAGTGGTAAAGGCTGGACGTAGTTCAAAGGATCTGTACAAGTTACAAGGCTGTTGCTGTTTAGACCAATCAAGACAATACAACAAGCTTAATCATTTTATGAATCAATCCCATACCAGTGAAAGGTTTTGGTTTGAATGTGTAATGAACAAGTGAAGACTATTCTGTGTGAGTATGTGTGAGCATTGCATGCCTCTATTTTGGGTCTAATGAAACTGGTCCAAAATGGTATTAAAAAAGCCAAACATATCACCCATTATCAGAAAAACCTGGCAAAAATCACAAGACCAAATAATATCCTAGGTAATCGTGCTTGGCATGTTGTGGATACCAACATATCCAAAACACTCCAGTAAAGCTGCATGACCATTCATTACAACAACACCAATGCTTTAAAGTCTTATTTATGGCTCATTTAACCAGCAGAAATAGGGAACACTTTCTAGCTTGCCCTACATGATGCAATAATGAAGCCAATGGACAATTATGACCGAAATATCCAACTCAGTCGGTCAGCTTTGATGAGTCAATGATGCCACAGAGTAAAAACAAAGGTATTAAACTGCTAGCCAGAATAATCATTTTAAAATAGGTTTCCTATATAGCTTGTTTCATTTTATTTTCCACAGGTAAAAGACCACAGCTGTTCCTAGAAAAACACAATTTATTTCTTTCACATGGCAGTGAGAGTGTGTATGCATGTAAAACCATGAGAGTACCTCATGTCTCCAGAGGCCAGTATATGAGTCAGCACAGCCACAGCTGAGCGACCATGATAGGGCATACAAAGCCAGAGAGGCCAGGGTGTGTGTATGTGTGTGCAGTAGACAAGTGGGTGGAGGATCAGGGCCAGATGAAGTCTTGGCAGGTGTCACCACTCAAGTTTTACCTTGTTTTTAAGGGCATCACTTCACACACTAGTATCCTGGCTACTAGAGGCAGTGCTGAGAGTTGAGAACTGAGAGATGACGAGGACCACAGGACGGACGAGAAGCCCGGCAAAGACACACTGTAGCCTGTTAGTCAGAGCTTACAGCAAAGGGCAGTACCCTCCTGCACATTGTATTACCACTGGCATATAACCAAAACCATTCTCATGGAATCCACTCTGTTTGTTTAGCTGATACTCAATTTCACCCAATTTAACCATTTTGGCAAGTCGTCAAAAGGCAGATGCTCAGAAAAAGAGAGAGGAATGAGAAAGAGAAAACAATAACAGAATTGCAAGAGAATTTATGGCCAGGTATTTGGCCATAGGAGGGGAGGATTTAAAAAAAAGAAATTGTTCTTTGGAGTGTGTTTGAATATAAAGTGTATATCAACCTGTTTCCAGCTTTGCAGAGCAGTGTCCACAGTGTGGATGGCATACTGGCTGATATTGAGAAACACCGGATCCACAAAAACATTCACATCCAGTGAGGTGTCCTGGGGGCAATATGTGGCAGCAGCCTGGCCCTGAAAACCACAAGAAATGTAATTTTTACACAATTCCTGACCAATGCTTTGATTTTTAAATGTCGAATTAGACAAACTAGCATAAATGTCTGAGCTCTACCTGTAGGACAACAGGCTGGAGGAGCTGCAGGTGTGTAAGGTTCCGGTACTCCAGCAGCTTGCAGTCTAGCTGGGTGGAGAAGCTGAACTCCTGACAGTGACGTGGGCCGTTGCTCCACTGGCGGAGGAAGACCCGCGGCTCCCGAGCACCAGTCACCATGAACTCTTGCTCCTGAGGTAACTTCCTGTCTGGCAGGAAGGGACGAAGTTGCCGGGATGGAACTGGAGGAGTGTGACAGAGGACCGCCATTAGAAACTGGACTGTGAGACATTTTTGATAGTACAAGGGAATAACAATCTTGCTGTGTTTGTAGCAGATCAATGGCAATGAGTAAACATGTGTTCAAGCTGTCCTCAGTGGACTGAGATAAATACAACCTTAGATACTAACTAATACATTATTATAAATGATTAGGAATAATACGATTTAATAGCTCATTTGAGTGATGTTGAATATAATGTAGTTTACACACTTCACTCTTCCAGTCCAACACAATCAGAAACATTCTATAAATACCATGCACTCTTACACTACCTACTTATAATAAAGGTCTGAAACTGTACATCTGTATGCATATGCACCCCGATCTGGACCCTACCGGTAATCTGTTTATATTCTTTGGTCTCTTACATTTGAGTTGCATACATTGTATATACTTAGTATTTACACCCTCTGGTATCTTTGAATTTGATCTTCCCACTTTGTCACAAATGTCCTTCAATTGTATCTACAAACTCATGAGAGACTCTGTGACTGGGTATTTTTCTTTCTTACCTGTGCCCAGCTGTTCTAGATGGTGGCAGAGGTGAACGTCCAGCTGTGCTAGTTGAAGGGACACACCCAGGGAGGGGACAAACCAGGGTGCAAAGCAGGAGTCCACACGGGTGCAGGCTGCCAATGCTATGGGAGAAACCAACTGATCGCAGGGCATCTGGGAGCCACTCTCACTGTCCAGACTGAAGGAAGAGCAGACACAGTCACACCCTCACCCATAAACAGATCAATTGGTATTTCTGACTGCGAGAAAACAAACAAGTGAGCACTGAAAACAGTACAACTGCAAAGAAAACAAGTAATAGTATGAAAATAGTAAAGACAAGTAAATGCATTCTGTGATTATAACATGATTTCATAGGAAAATCCGACCATGCTTTGACAGTTCAAAGGGAAAACATATTAAATGGTTATTTATTTTCCATCAAACTTATATAAAAAGCATGAGCCAAGCTGTGGAATATTGGCCACACAAAATGAACTCACTAATACAAATAATATGATTTCTTAGAATTATTTTGTCTCTTGCCCAGTGAGTTACAAATTGTGTGACATCCTCGCCAGAAATGTACAATGAGATAAACGCTACAATTATATTTTTGAGTATAATATGGAGTGGGCCTCCTCGCTGTCCGTCCCAGGCTGTGAGTTTAGGTCCATTATTACTGCCGCAGTTTCCAGGAGAACCTCTCTATGGACATTAATTGCATGTCATGGTTGATGAAGTTGAATGGAGGGTAATTGAAGTGAATGACCATTTGCTCTGTAATTTGCTGCTACCATGATCCACCATAAAAAGTCCAGCAGGAAACGCTCAAGACCTGAACAACGCTGGTGCAGCAGAGTGCTCCTTAAAAAGATAAGCATCATATGTTGACCATTTTCATTACTTCCAGTTGGCAGGGCAGCCAAGTTATTTTTCTGGTGGAAACTAAAGTAAGGCAGATGAAACAAGCGAGTAAGGAAAAGGGAATCAATTTTGATCTAAAAAGACAAATAATTTAAACATAAAGGAAATGTAGTGTTTGCGCTATGATTGTAATGAAACACAGATGCTCTACACTGTATCTGGTACTGTACACTTTTTTCTCAGTTACTTCCCTTACATGTTTTCTTATTCCTCCCTTTTTAGCTCGCTAAGCCACACAGAATGTGGGCTTGGCAATACTCTTTCACTAGAAGTTCCTTTAATCCCGAGAGTCAAAAAGGGGGTGGACATTAAGCTGAGAAAGAAATGAAAAGAATACAGATGCAAATGAAAAATGGGTGAAGCACGGAAGATTTAATGGCATGACATGACATGAGAGAGAGGAAAAGAGGAGGCAGTGAGAAGGGAGTAAAAGGTGTTTCAACCTATCCAAACCGAGGATCTTATGAGCCAAACCAAAGGGGGCTTCACCCCTCTCGCTTCCCGTGAGCTTCCACACAATTAGATACACTCAAGGTAAGCAGGAAGGAATCCGGATGGGCCCTGACAGGCACTTGGTGTGCTGGGAAATCTCATTAGGCCGATCTGAACGCCTTCCAAGCCCGCTCCCTGCTCCTGCACACCAGATGTGGGGCGAGGGACACATTGTGCTTGGCTTGGCTTGTGCTTGGCGGCCTGGGTGCAGACTTTTTCATATACAAGCATGCATAAAAGACACACAGATACATTGAAGCACAGAGAAACAGTACAGGATGAATTCTCCCCACCTCTGCTCATCTCCTCCCTCTCCATTACTGTTGAGGACTATCCTCCACAGGTCGGAGGCCACCAGCTCCTTCTGCTTCTCTGTCAGGCTGAGGCTGGGCAGCTGCAGCTGGCAGGCCCGGCTCTCTGAGAGGCTGAACTCCCGGTACGGAACAAAGGCCTGCTGGAGCTCGTCCCAGAATTCTAGGCTGCATGGTACCTGGAATGAAAGACACAGTGAACAACTTATACATGTGAGCCCAAATATGTATATCATTTATTTGTGAATGCATACTTTTCATCCTTATATGTAGCATTAGTATTAGACAATCAACATTGTGGCAGCATTTTTTATTTGACTGTCAAGTATCTGTAAGGTTTTTTCATTTACTGTGAAAACACAGTTGGAAAGATGGACAGACTAAAAGTTTTCTTCTCTAGAGAGCTTGGAAGAAATGTCAAGGTATGGCTTACTTGGAGACTTTATGAGGACACAAAGAAACGCAAATGGCTCACACCAGTCCCAAGGGCAAATTGGGTCAGAGGCATTCATTGTTAATTTACATATAACATATGTACTAATATTACAGTATATGGGTGGGGGGGGGGGGGGGGGGGGGGTTGCATTTTGGGGTTTCACTGAAAATAAACGTTCTACTGAAACACTAACTCTGAGCTTTGTTTTCTACCATGTGATCAGATGGAATTCTTTGAAAACTGTTGCCTAATATTTGTATACTGTATATCCTCACTTAATGTCCTCTACAGATGGACACCAGTGGTTTCTTACTATACTATCCCTCAATTGTTCATCATGTTAACCAGAGGCTCCAGTCCATGTAAACAGACTCCTCCTCAGAGTATCCCTAATTACTCATCAGCAGCAGGATTCAGAGTTCCCGTTAGAATATTTTTTCGCCGGTCAACATGTCTGTTAAAGTTTAAATCTTCCGGACAAAATGAGAAAAGTGCCGGTCAAAGGTCTTCTTTGTTATTTATTGTGCTTTAAAACAAATTGATATGATTCGATATTAAACAAACTAATTATAGTAGATTAACTACATTATTCAAAAGTGTACAGTAACTTATAATAACACGGGAATAATAAACGGAGCGCTCTCCCTCTCCTGACAGCCCGTCAGTATCATGCAGCTCGCGGATCAGTAATGAGTGACCCGACAGTAAAACTAAACATATCTATAACTAGTTACGGTAGTTTGAGAGGTCATTAAAATAGCTACGTGTGATATTCTAACCTGGTGTGTGTTTTGTTCTGTGATCATGCAGAGCTGCGTGTCGACCATGGTGTCTCACATAAAGACAGATAACAGGCTCATCACAGACAAACTGGATGTGGCCAAGTACTTGAACATTTTTTTCACAAACATAGCCACAACTCTTGTAAATAAATTACCCTCCCACTCAGGGCTTTTTGGAGTAGATCACATCATGACCTACTACAAAAACCTAGGGGTACGCAAAGATGATTTCAGTCTAGCAAGGGTAACAACAGCAGAGGTACTCATTAAACTGAGCGCCCTCCAACCTAACAAGGCCACTGGCCACGACAATATCCCCTCCAAATTCCTCAGAGACACAGCAACTGCCATCTCACCAGTCATAGCTCACATAATTAACCTCTCCATAAAACAGGGAAAAGTACCCAAAGACTTCAAAATTGCAAGAGTAACCCCCCTGCACAAAAAGGGCAGCAAATTGGACCCAGGCAACTACCGCCCTGTCTCTATACTTACCTCCATCTCGAAAGTCATGGAAAAAATAGTATATGAACAGGTCGAAAAGTACCTCGCGGAAAATAAACTAATCTATGAATTTCAATCTGGCTTTAGAACATCCCACTCCACTGACACATGCCTTCTTTATTTGAGCGACCACATCAAACAAGAGGTGGACGAGGGCAAGTACTGCGGCATGGTGATGCTGGACCTACAAAAGGCTTTCGACACTGTCAATCACCCCATTCTGATTGACAAGCTAAAAGCAATTGGTTTTGATAAACTATCGGTGAGCTGGATGCAATCCTACCTGGAGGGGAGAGAACAGATGGTGGAGGTAAACGGTACTCTGTCCCCCCCCCCTCCCAGTGAGCTGTGGTGTTCCACAAGGAAGCATATTAGGTCCGTTACTGTTCCGAATTTATGTAAATGACATGTCATCAGCATGTGACTGCAACTTGTTCCTGTTCGCGGACGACTCAGCCCTGCTGGTCTCTGACAGGAACAGGTTGCAGGTTGAAAAAACCCTCAGCTCCGAGCTCGGCAGAATCTGCACCTGGCTCGCCGATAATAAATTATCATTACACCTGGGTAAAACAGAGTCCATTCTCTTCAGTTCGAAACATAATCTCAGCAAATCCGACGACTTCTCAGTTGCAGTGGGCGACATTATTGTCACTGTTATGGAAATAATTGTCATAGACGCCAAGATGTGACATACAGGACAAACCTTGATGTCTGTTTACCTCCTTTAAGGACACAGGCTGCTTAGCCAATAATGTTATTGTTCCCATTCTGTGACCGGTCAATACTGGGTCACAGATGGTCTGTGTTGTGGGTACACTGGGACATTTCCTTCTCTGTATTTGTGGACTCCAAGGTGTGAAATCTTCGAGGTCATAAGTGTCCGACGCAAGTAACTCAGTGTTCCCACACTGTTTAGGCTATCTTCTCAAATATGTTGTTTACTCTCTGCGAAACCAGTTAGATGGGCTGGCAAGAGAGAGGCTCTCCAGGATTGACGTGGCAACTCTACCGTGAAGTCAGAACCTCTGACTCTTGGACTTGTGATGTGAATCCTCCGGCCGTTAACTCCAAATAAACCACCAGTGTTTGACATCAAAGCTACTGCTCCTACCGTGTCTCCTTCCTGAGTCGGTGACTCCCACAGCATAGCTACACAGAAGTTTCCTCTACAGTCACAAGTAAGAAGGAAATTACATACCTAGGATCTATTCTTGAGGCAAACCTCTCCTGTGACAAAATGGCATCCAATGTAATAAAAAAGTCAATCAAAGAACTAGATTCCTATACCGGATCTCCTCTCTGGTAAACAAAAACACCCTGAAAACTCTGGCAGGAGCACTCATTCAAGGGTACTATGACTATGCTTGCACGTCATGGTACCATAGCACCTCCAAGGCGCTAAAAATAAAACTTCAAACATCGCAAAATAAACTGGTCAGACTACTGCTTGACCTTTCATCTAGAACCCACCTCACCTCTGCCCACTTTGACAACCTAGGATGGCTTAGAGTAGACGACAGAGTACAGCTACTTGCAATGGGCCTGGTCTACAAGATCCACTACACCTCTATGGTACCCATGTACATGTCAAAATTCTTCCCAAAGGTCAAGGAATACCATGATCATAACACCAGAGGGAGCTCCACAAATCATGTGAAACCCAGATTTGGCACAAAAAAAGGGGGAATACACATTTCGCAATTATGCCACATCAAGGTGGAACGCTCTTCCCACAACTGTAAAGGAAAGTAAAACTATACTTACCTTCAAAACCTCTCTTAAAGAGCACCTTCGGGGGAGAGCATTGCAAAACTGGCCCCGGTAATGGTACAAATCTCAACCTGTCGTTCAATGGACAGCTTCCCCCCCCATCTATGTATATACTCGCATTTTAGACTCTGTTACTAACTGTATATCTGTAGACTTGGTATGTCTTAAATGTCCGGTTAGGATGTATTAGAACGAAATCGAAAATGAAAATTGTAAATAAGCAATCTGTATGTAAAAAACCACCTGTATGTAAATTGTAAATAAGCAATCTGTATGTAAAAAAACCACCTGTATGTAAATTGTAAATAAGCCATCTGTATGTCAAATATGTCTTATATGTCTTAAATGACATGATGAATTGGAAATGGGGGACCCTGATGTAAACAAGACGAAAGTCTTTCTCTGGTCTGCATCCCCTTAACAATTGTATGTTTTGAGCTGTACCGTACTGTACCCAATATACAAGCTGTTAATAAACTTTTCAATCAATCAATCAATCAGTCGACTCGTCAGCAGCAGCTGATCTCTCTCTCCCGCCAGATTAGACTTTACTCGCGTTTATCTCCATATCGATCAGATCTAGCTAGTTCTAGCTAATGATAGGACTACCTGCTTATTAAAAGACACCTAAACAATAAGCGTCGCTATGCAACTGGGTGAGGCCGCAAAGTATAGCGCAGCATTATGCATTTGTTTACATGCCCACCGGAACCCTGAGGCATTACCAACAGATCAACGCACAATCAACCCATACAGGACATCTCTTTCTCCACATTAAGTGTTAGACATTAGAATTGACTATTCTTGTCTGTCACATACTCTTTTGTCTGTCACATAAATGGCGCAAGTTGCGCAACTGATGTGGTATTGCGCTAAACGGAAATTATTTTGAACGGACACTTTGACCGGAGAGATTTAGATTTGCCGGTCTTCAGCATATTTTACCGGTCGTAGTCCGGTAATTACCGGCTAACGGGAACTCTGGCAGGATTACTGTAAGGCTTTGTTATTGCACAACAGGTAGGCCACTACTTTAGTCCTGTGGACCCCCCAGTTACACACACTGTATTTAGCAACTGCAGTCATCTGCTAATCATTAAGCACAAGTTTAAGCAGCCTTTGAAGACGCGGGGAATCCCCATCTTGGAGAAGGAGTGAGCAAGTGATTTTTTATGGTCACTGTATTCCAGTCGTACATTTGTCTTACTTCAGACAAACCAATCTTGAGTTTTCTCATAGTCGGAAAAAAGCGACAACTCTTTGACTGGAGACCACCAACGCAGCGAGACGACAATTCATCACCAATGCATGACCACAGCATAACTAAACAGCGGGCAACTGAAAGCTACACTGAGGCCATTAGCATTGAAGTCCTGGAGCTATTTTTCACACTGAATAACAATCAGCTGTGTGAGTGTTCACACATTGCGAGACGACTGGTGAGCTCCATTGATTCCTCTCATATTGTGCCAACATTAGCATAAATGTGTCTGGTGCTCCTGTGTGAACTAAAACAGGTTCTCAGGTTCCCCCCAACCACCTGCACATCAGCCGCTGATGGATCAGAGGTGGCAGGAACTTTTGGCTGCACACCTTAAGGATGCCTGGCAGGAAGTGTGTGTGTTTGTGTGTGTGTGTGTGTGTGTGTGTGTGTGTGTGTGTGTGTGTGTGTGTGTGTGTGTGTGTG